ATTTACGAAGATATATCAAGCACGAAATCAGTATACTTTGATTACTAAAACTTCATCTAATGGTATTAACTCATACAAAATGCCTACTTTAGTTTATGAAATAACTGATTGTCACCTTCCAAAGGCTTTGTTACTTCTAGGAAACCATCTACAAACATTTTTTGCGATTACATATATTGTGATTACACCAACTATACTAATTTGAATAATTGTGTAGTGTACATATGTGTGGTAGACATGGTTATTACAATCATTGTCTACAAAGGTGCCAATCTAAATGTTTGGTATCTTCAATTCGAAATCAAAAAACAATGTCAACGCACTAAAAGAAAGTATGATGAAAAGATTAAACAAAAATGAGTTTGTTGAAAATATCGAAAATATCGAAAATATAGTTGGATGATCTGGGTAAATTTGCATCAGCAATAGGTGGTGCAGCAACAATGGAAATTTTATTAGAGCATGCAAAAAAAAATTTTTTTTGGTAAATTTTGTTTTTATTAAATAAATTTGTTTGATTTTTTCATACATCATTCATATTTTGTCTTAATCGTATATCTTTTAAACAATGGTTGTGTTTATAATAATTTCATAGACATTCATTATATTAAGGTTATTTTTATTATATCGAGAGATATGGTCAAGAGAAAGTTAGGAAGAGTTATTCGAACCCTTTAAATACATTTTCGAGTAGTACAATATAATTTATTAGACTATTTCAAATGTTTGTCATATGGTTGCTTCCCAACTTCTTAAATTCGAACTATTTGTTATTTGTTGACGAAACAATTGTTGGTAAAGTAATTGTTGACAAACCAACGTTTATTTTTACATTATCAAATTCATGATTTTGATTGGTCAATCAATAATTGCATGGGTTAAAGTTTCGTGCTACCATAACGGGACAATAGAAACAACCCAAATGTCAAAAATCATGATTTTGAGTTAACAGCATTTATGCATGCAATCCATTACAGAGATTAATTTTAGCTTAGAAACCTATCCACTTTACTTAATAAAATTTTGAGATATTTTCTGTTAAAGTTCTTAAAAACAATAGGTAAATTACTTGAAATGCAGATCTTTTTTTTCGATTATCTCAAAATCGTGATTTTGACGTTGGACACGTTTCTATTGTCCATACCCCTATGATATTCCTGTTGCTCTTTTAAATAAAGGCTCTTTAGTAAGTGAATTGCACTATGGACCATTTTCTCATTATTTGTAGCAATCTTCTGATAATGAAAAAGTATTTCCTATTTGTTTTCTTTTTTGGATCAATAATCTTTGAAAAGGTCATTGAAAATATACAAGTATAGTATAATAAGTCAATAATACTAACTCAGGGCACTGGGATAACCCATGTGCCTTTAGTATTAGTGAGGGACAGTTCATTTAGTTGACAGTTCATATGATTTTAGCATAACATACACATTGATATAATAATTAATATAATTTGTTTAGTTGATAATCCTGATTGAATCTAGGAATCATGATTTCAGAAGCATAAGGAAATTTAGATAAAAAGAAAATTTGGATACTAATTAGTTTGCAAGCATATTAATGACTGAATTTCATGCATCTTGAAAAGAATCATCATCAAAAATAAATATTTCTGAGTTTTGATTCAAACGAAATGCCAATTTGTCTGATTCACATTATTAAAAGCAATAATTATTATTATAATCGGTAATAATATCATCACATGTAAACTAACTGTCAGTGAAGTATTTGTCGACAAAATGAACTGTTGATGAAATGTGTGTTAACGAAATGATTGTTGACGATGTGATTGTTGATGAAGTAAATGCGACCGCTAAATTTAAAGGTAAATTAATAATTTATTTTAATGCTGAAATTTATTATTTTGCCATATCTGATATATATTTTCTAACAATATTTTTTATTATTCAATGATATAGTTATTTAATTATAAGCAATACAAAACAACAGGGTGAGCAGATATATTATCTTGGAAATAATTAGATATTTAAAGTATTATCATTTGGGATTTTATTTTTCTTCACTTCATTATCATGACCGGAAAAATTATTACTTTCTGTTTCGGAAATTTTTCGGTAAATTTCAATTGGCATTTGCATCCTGTATTACTTAGAGATGGGCATTATGCAACTTTTTGAATTAATCATTTTCATATCCATCTAACTCATATAATCAATTGTTGATAATTTTTTTCATGAAGGTAACTTTAAAGCTGTCTAATTGAATAAAAAATGTCACGAATTGGTTTTAATTCAGAAAATGAAAAATGAAGTCCGCAACAAAAAAATAGCAGTTGCAAATAAAATTTCAAATTCTTGTTGCTCTGCAGAAGAAATTCTATCAATAAAATTAATAATTGAGATGTTAACTAAATGAGTTGATTGAGATAAAGAAGTAGAGGAAGAAGAGGAAGTAGAATTCTCAGATTGACTGCGTAATTATATTTTTGAAAATATTCATCAAGTACATGATGTGAAACTTTGGTACATTTCTAAGGTGTTGTGAACAACAATTTGCAGCAGCAAGCAATTTATGTGAACAATAATTACATTGAGCTCTTTCTTGTTTATAAGTGGCCTCATGACCAAGCTTTGTAAAATGAGACCAAATTTTACTAAGCGGAGGCATAAAATAAAATCTAAAATTCGTGTAACATTACATATGTTCATTATTCGTTGGGACATTATGCGCATTTTAAAAAATTCAGTGCGCATTATGCCCATCTCTACTATTACTGCAAAGTTTGAACACAATAGTGGTTATTATTATATCTGTCGGATAGTATCCGTGAATATCCGCGACCATCCAGATATCAACGGATATTCAACGAATATTAATACAGTCAAGTATTTTACCAAATTTGGAAATCGAATCTAGAAAAATTGGAACCCCCTTGTTGATCAATTCATATAT